AGGAGAGAAAGGAACGGGCAGATAACCATGTGAAGATGCATTTGATTTACCAGAAATGGAGAAAAAGGATATGCCCTAAAACTCCTTTCCTAAAGCCTTCAGAACATTGCTCTGCCAACACCAGAATGTGGGCTTCTAGCCTCCAGAGCTGCGAGAAAGTAAATTTGTGCTGGTTAAAGTAGCTGGTACCTTGTTGCAGGAGTGCTAGCAAAATAATACAAGTACCTTAGTCACAGTAGCCTCATTCCAAGTGCTTATTGAGTAGTATTGGGCAGCACAGGTGGATCATTGCAGCAGGTCCTGCTGGGCAGTGCTGGCCTAGACTTTTATCCTGACTTTCATTTTCGCCCCGAGCGTCTTCACAGAATTATGCCATACACTCACTAATTTATTTATTTATATCACACGAGATTCTGTGCTGCAGGAGGGCAGGGAGTGTGTGTTTGTGTGTGTGTGCGTGCATGTGAATGTACACACCACGCATACATCTGTTCACAATTTCTGTGGGGGTCATTCAGTAACATTGGCTACATACTTCACAACATGTTAGCATTCTCACTGTCTCCATTCATGTTATTGCAATACCATTAAGTTAGACTCTGGAAATCAAGGATTTTTATTACTAAAAAACTATTGAATCATCAGTGCCTAAAGCAGAGTCTGGCACAGTATAAGCTCTGTAAATATTCATTGAGTGAACAAATACATGAGTGTTTGAATGAATTGATGAGTTAGCATTATTTTGCAGTTTCATATTTAACATTAGGTATAATGTCTTTCTTTGATGACTTTATATGCTTTTCTTCCATGGGTTCAAAAGGTAGAGAATGAATATTCTCTATCCAAGGATGCCTGTTTTAAAGTTGGAGTGAAATATTTTTCACATTATGAAAGGATAATGAAGATGAAATGCTACTGAACAACTAACATATTGTTCTGAACAGGAAAGTATAAAATATTCAAACCTAGCATTTTCTTTGGAATAAGAAGTTATGTGAGTAGGAGAAAACAAAATGCTATTTGTGTAGCTAATTAGGCTTAAACTGGCATGTGATTTAAAGCAGCTGTGGCACACTGAGATGCACCTTATTCAAAGTAATAATAGCAAATCTAGCTATAAGCAAGATGAGAAATGATAATATGCTCTCTTTAAAAGTGTACTTAAAAAGTGTATGAAGATGTCTGTTTTCCTTAATTTCAAATAAGAAATACGAAGGGTACCCAGAAAAAAAACTGGAATATTTTTTCAAAGCTATATATTTAAATTTTTTGTACAAAACAAGCTTATCACCTTCAATGTACTCTCCCTTACACTTAATATATTTGTCAAATATGCGACTCCATTCTTGGAAACATTTTTCAAACTCATCTGTTTGGATGGCTGACAGCACCTCCTGCATTTTTTTTGTTACCTCTTCTGTGTTGTCAAATCGCTGTCCTTTCATGTCCCTCTTCATTTGCAGAAACAAAAAGAAGTCACATATGGTGAGGTCAGGTGAGTGAGGTACCTGAGGCAAGAGAGCTGTTGTTTGCCAAAAACTGGCACACTAACATGGCTGCGTGAGCAGGTGCATTGTCATGGTGCAAAACTAGTTCCCTGTCTGCCACAAGCCAGGCCTTTTTTTTTTTTAAATTATTTTATTGGGGGCTCATACAAGTCTTATCACATACCATACATGTGTCAGTTGTGTAAAGCACATCTGTATAATCGTTGCCCTCATCATTCTCAAAACATTTGCTTTCCACTTAAGCCCCTGGCATCAGCTCCCCATTTTCCCCCCTCCCTCCCTGCTCCCCCCTCCCTCATGAACCCTTGATAATTTATAAATTATTATTTTGTTATATCTTACACTGTCTGACATCTCCCTTCACCCACTTTTCTGTTGTCCACCCCCCAGAGAGGAGGTTATTTCTAGATGCTTGTAATTGGTTCCCCCTTTCCATCCCACCCTTCCTCTACCCTCTTGATATCGCCACTCTCACCACTGGTCCTGAAGGGACCATCCTCCCTGGATTCCCTGTGTTTCCAGTTCCTATCTATACCAGTGTACATCCTCTGGTCCAGCCAGCTAAATCAGGCCTTTTTTGTTACACAGTTACACAATCTTTTCAGAACCTCTAAATAGCTTGATTAACAGTGACCTGGTAGAATGAACTCAAAATTCACTATCCCCCTCACATCAAAAAAACAAATGAGCATCTGGTTTATGAGGTTATCCCTTGTATATGAGTATAGAACTGGCCATTTACCTGAATTAATTTCGAATTAAAATTACCCATGAAATGACTTCAGTACCCAAATGAAATTTGCTATCTGAGCAAAATATAACCAGAAGCATGACTACCTTATGTTTGCCTATAAATAGACATTGAAAGTAGTTTGTGTTTCTAAATAAGGATACAGCTTTAATAGTCATGAAAAAAAGATTTTTTTTCTCCCCCTGGGTGGGTCCCACTTTGTTGGCTATACCTGAAATGGTGATGGAGGAAAGATGTACCTGGCAGTGACAGAGCCAACTGGTAAATCATCTTTAACCAGTAGCCAAATGCTAGATGTCAATTGGCTGTCATAGCCAAGTTCAGTTTCTGACAATTCGGAATGAGGTAAAATAGGAGTGTTGTCTCCTTCTCCTTTCCCATTTTGAAAAATAGATACTTTCTGAGCAGCGTTAGCTCTAAATAGACTTGCAAATACAGATCATGGGCAGCTCTAGGCTTAGGCTGTGCAGGATTGGTGACACGTCGCTGCTTGAAGAGAAAAACAGAACCATGAGCACTGATATCAATGTGCCCATGCTGTCAAACTCATCAGGAAACTAGAGACCGTCTAATGAAGAGACAGGAATAGGAAGAGCAGAGAGCGGAAACCCTAGAAAAAATGGTACTTTCTAACATTTCACAGATACTCTAAAAAAATTAGGCCTGGACCTTTTAGGATATATATATATATATATATATAT